GGTTGTACTTCCTTTCTGTCTGGTATGAATATACCACACTGTACCTCTGAGTTTTTTTCACTTTGGACAGTTATGAATAATGCTGCTTTGAGCATTTTCGCACATGTCTTCTGTTGAACAGTTGCATGTATTTCTGTCGGGTATGTATTTAGGAGAATTGTTAGGTCATAGAGGACATGTGTGTTCAGCTTTAGTAGATAGTACGAGTTTTCCAAAGTGCTTCTATGACATTAGACCCCTACTCGCTGCATATGAGTGCTCCCCTTTCTCACCAGCACTGGGTGTGTCCCATCTTCTTCATTTATGTGGTGGCATGATGTGCTTTTAATTCGTTTCTTTGATGACTGATAAACTTGAGCACCTGTTCACATGCTTATCGGCCATTCGAATATCTTCTTTTGTGAGGCGCCTGTTCTGATCTTTTTCTGCTTTTCTCTTGGGCTGTCTTTTTCTTATTGATTTGCAAGTATTTCTTGTATATTCTACATGAGTCCTTTGGAAATATATATCACAAACATCTTCTATTTGGAGTGCTTTTTTTAAAAGTATAATTTACATACCATCACATGCTGCAATGTGAAGAGTATCGTGCAGTCCATTTATCAAGACAGGATATTTCCATCACCTAGAGGCTTCCCTTGGACTCCTCCCCAGACCATACCCACCCCCTCACAAAAGCAGCCACACATTTGATTTCTATGACCACAGGTTAGTTTTGCCTGTTTTAGAATTTTATATAAATGATCTCCTATGGTATATGCTTTTTGTGTTCAGCTTCTTTCACTTAGCATATTTTTGAGTTTCATCCATCAGTAAGTATTCAGTCTTTTAAATTTTACTTTTAAATTTTCATTACTGAGTAGTATTCCATGATAGATAATACCAGTTTGTTTTTCATTCTCCTGTTCATGGACATCTAATTGTTTCCAATTTATGGTTATTACAGATAAAGCTGTGACAAACATTCTTGTCCAAGGCTTTATGGATTTAGCATTCACCTTTTAAAAATTCATTAATGATGCTAAAGTTTAATGATACTAAAATTTCAGTTTGTATATTGTTCTCTGAGAAGTCCAGATAGGTGAAAGTCTGGATTCCTGCCAAAGATTCATTTCCTAGAAGGAATTTTTAGGGAAAAAAAATTTCATAGTAGAATTTCATTAATCAGCTTCCGTAGTAGTATAAATGATTCATTTTACAGACAACTGCCTGGGAATACCAGTTACACGACTCATCTGGAGTTTCATTCATGTGGATTTTTCCCTCTTGCCCAGTTGTATGAATATATGTAATTGGCTTTACTAGAATTTTTTGCATTTGCACTAAAGACCTTGTCTTTTGGAGAAAGAAGATTATTTAGTCAAATGTGTCAGCCTCTCAACTTAATGCCTTGAGTTTAGAAAAGGTTAAATACTCCTTGGGAATGCAGGCAGGTGAACATTCTAAAAACAGGTAGTTTACAATTATTAGAAAATACAGTGGTAGAAAAAATAGTTTTGTACTAAATGTGGCATTAGAGGTATGTGGTGATCTTAAGTAAAAAACAGCACTGCTGAACTCATCCACCCCAATGCCTATGATGTTACTTTCTATAAATACTTCTTGAAACATGAGAGCTTTGATCCTGTTGCCAAAATAATGTGAGAGCCTATAAATTTTCTAATTATAAATGACAGTATTTTAATTTCATTACTTTGCCCCCTCTGTCCCGTCTTGTCACCATCGCACTCCTCTGCGCCCCCACCGTGGCCCAAAAATGGTGTGACTGGATCACTACAAGTCACAGGATTGAATTAAAGCACACGTCATTTCCACGGCTGCTCTACCCCGTAGAGCTGGTGCCAAGCCCCAGTAGGCTGCTCCTCCTCTTCTGTGCCAGCTCCAACGATTGAAGTCATTGGATAAAAGCTAGTCTCAAAGAAGTGAAAATTCTTTTTCTCAACTGGGGCATAAAGTTTGTTTCTTTCAGCCAGTTGTTCAGAGAAAGCTCTCAGTAGAAGAGATAAGGAATTTGAAATTCATTCTTAGGTCTGTTGCTGGCTCAGAGACTACTGTGATTACTTGCTGTACAGCGTGCAATTTAATATTGATTACACAGTGTATATGCATGTGTGGCAACTGTGATCATAAAGATTTTGCTTTCATGTCATTCTGACAGTAGTGTTTCATTTTGGAGGGACAATAATTACAATTGGGTTTCTACATAGCTGCTCTATTTTGCACATTTCGAAGTTCAAAATCTACCTCTAGGTGGCAGCACCAGATACTTTTTCCCTGTTGTTTCACTTCAGCCTTAATGAGTTACGGTATAAGCAGTAAAACTTTTAAGTCTCCCGAAACTTCGAAATAACCTGCTTGTTGCCAATTTTGTGAGGATTTGGAAAAATTAATTTATTATGTAAGTTTGGGTTTAAGTCTGGATTTTGACCTTAAAGAAAAGATTCCAAGCATCAGTGATCCATATTTTTTAACATGACTAATTACACGTTTTCTTAAAAGATGTAACTTAGCCCCCCGTGATATGCCTGTTGACTTATAATTGTCTTCCCAAGAAAATCACTCTTTTATGATATTTTTGTATCCAAGTAACTTGTACAGGATCATTATATACCTAATATTTTAAGGTAATTACAATGTCTTCTCCCTTATATTTAAAAAATTTACTGTTGACTTATGGCCAAGAGTGCTGAGATGCAATCCCATCTCTTGGGGGAAAAAATCAGTTTGTGAATAAATCTGAAGTAATTAGCTAGACCCGTTGGTTTTATTATTGCAACAGTAGATAAGGGTTGTTTGTGGAAATGGACATTCAAAGTAGACATTTCATAAGGCCTGATCTTTTTTCATAACTTTTGGTCGCTTGTTGGGCTTTTCTCCCTAAGCAGCAGGCCACCCCCGGACTCAAGTGCACACGGTGGCCAGTGGCCGGTGACTGGTGGGAAGGCTTCAAAAGAGCTTTCATTGTTTCCCTGTTGCAGCCCGGCTGGTTGTGTCTATGTGCAAAGCCAGCGTCTTTTTGTTACTTGATTTTCAGGTTGTGATAGAAGCTTGTCTCTTAGGAAACCCTTGCTTATTGTTTTTCTTTTTCCTTACTTATTGAGAAGTATTGGCCTGGGGAAATTGATGAATAATCATCCCATCAGAGAAAAGGTGGAGCTGCTTTCTCGTAATCATGAATAAAGCAAGACATTGTGTGAATACAGTTGGATTCACAACTAGAGGTTCAGAAATTTGCAGCAGTTACCCTTCACTACAGGGAAGAAATGGCACCATTCGGGGCATGGGCGTGGTCTCTCTCCATTCCTCTGCCCTCCTTGTCTTTAAATGAGAGTGTGTATGTTACCAGACACTTCACGAACTTGCTGTTTCTCTTAAGGGATAGGTAACTTGTAAAATAAAAATGTACAGTGAGTCTTGGAGCCACGTGACCTGTGTTACAGTAATTTATATCACTGTCCAGGAACAGTTTTTCAAACTGTTTTGAATGTGTGTTCTTTGTTTTTTACTGTACACTATCATGTTGGGAAATAGTCACTTTGATTAATTACTACAAAGAGCGGCTGTTAACTTGCTGTGCAACACGATGTACATGTGTTTCATATATTTTTCCAAATGTATAATCTTGAATGAATGTAGTCTGGATTAAATGATACTCATCCACTATTTTACTTTTTCCATTCATATGATATTTATTGGGTGCTTGCCACGTGATAGGGACCATGGAAAATGATTTGTCCTTGAATGTCTGATTTAAATTTCAAAAGTGCATGGTAGGTTGTAGTAGCTCCATTTTGCAGGTGAAAAAACTGAGACTCAGCCTTTTATTCTTAATTCAGCACCTTTCCACTGTGTCAGAGCCGGCCTTTTGTAATTCAGATGTTGCTTTGACAACTGACCCAATAGGATTTAGGATCTTATCAGTGAATTCTGAATACATCTGTTAGATTATCTAACTGTGCAGCTGTTGATAGAGTTAAAACAATTTTTAGATACTTTTGGCATTTGAACTTTTTACTCAGTGACTTTTATATTATGTAGCTTTATACTAAAATAAAAAATGATAGCTTTCTTTAGATTTCTAAAAAGCCTAGAATTCTTAGGGATTGCTAAGGAATGCTTTTAAGAAAATATTATAAGAATATAGTATGGAATAATTATCTCTAAGTGTAAATTCAAGAATTAGATTTTGACATATATGCTTTGACCAAGGGTAAGTTAAATTGTTTGGCCTTACAGTCTTTCTTTTCTCAAATAGTTTGGGGAAACAAGGTAGTGTAAATGATGAGTCAATTGATTTCTTGTGTCATTTTGATTGAAATATAGAAGGTATATTTGGCTTCAGGATTGTCAGGGACATTTTGGCCTACAGAATTTGTAGATTCATTGTTTTTGCACATATTTTAAATTTCTGAATTGATGAGAACCAAAAAACCGTGTCGCGTTTTGACTCAGATGCTGCTACTGAATTTTAACCACTGCATTAGATTGCAACCTACATGCTGTTAACTACTGAGCCAAGATGGAATCGACCACCGCATTGAAATCAGGGTTAGCAGTTGTGTCTGCATTTGAAGGAGTTGTAATAACAGTGAATTTGTTTTCCTTAATGGGATTTTTATTCTCTATTTTCAGTTTTAATGGTGACACTTTGATTTTAGGAGATTTTAACAGTGCACATTTATTTGAGATTTTCACTGTAACTTTAGGAAAATACTAAAACCATCCTATAGAAGTACTTACTTCCAAACCCAAATGTCCAGTAGCATATTTCTGCATTGTTTTGATGCAGTTGACTTGTTTTTTTTTAATAATCTCTTTAAAAAGAGAAGTCGTTTGTCTTGGTAGTATGAGCCTCTATCTTGAGTTCAGATGATTATGTATGTGTGTGTATGAATTTAAAAATAAATCTTTTGTGGATTCCCTTCTTTGGGACATTTCTTGGAGGGGGGAATTCAAATAATTGTGCCTTTCTGAATTTATTTTTTCTTTAACATTAATAGGACTTGACCCCACCCAATTTAGAGTTCATCATTATCATAAAGATGAAGAGAATGATGCTCTACTTGGTGGCCCAGCACAGCTCACTGATGAAGAAAAATACAGGGACTGTGAAAGGTTCAAATGTCCATGCCCTACATGTGGAACTGAGAATATTTATGATAGTGCCTTCGATGGTTCGGTTAGTTGTTTTTTTTTGTTTTGTTTTGTTTTGTGAGCAAACTAGTACAAAGGCCCTTTTCTCTCCACTATATGTATAAAAAGGAAAAAGAAAACACACTTTTTTTATGTGTTTAAAGAATTTTAGCGTCATATGAATTCTGCCTTCCTTTTACAACTTACTTTATTTCTGCTTGCAAACTCTTAATAGAGTGTGCTTGAGTATTGTTTTTGGCTTCTTAGAATGCTTAGCCTTGGTGTTTTAAATGGAATCTCTTAAAAATTCTAAATTATCTTAAAGTATTTTTATTGTAATTCCTTGATTAGTAACCTGTATTTCCCTACTCCCAGCCCAGTTTATTAAGACTTAGAGCAATATTTTCCTTTATCTTAAATCAAGTTAATGGGAACTAAGTGTTTTTGGAAAGTTTTTGTTTATCTTTACACATCCCACTTGCCTCCTTTTTGACAAAGGTATCCTGATAATCTTTTCTGCTGTCTTTGCATATTAGGCATTTAAAAAGTCGCAGGGAGGCATTTCTCCCAAGAAGTACTGCCAAAAAATGTATCATTGACCTTGGATCAGAACTTGAAACTTGGCCAATCTACTTGATTCCACTGCAGTGTTATACATGTCCTAGCCATTGGCAAATGAGTAGGCAGCAGAACCGTGTAAAACCTTGAAACTGGAAGAAAATACATCCTTTATCTAAATTAAAAGTAATTATTTTAAGTTAATTTGGACAAACAGCAGATGTTTTGCATTTTTTTGAATCAAAACAAAGCAGTCTTTGGAAGCAAGTGCAAGGAAGAGGCAGACACAGATCAGCAATACTTGCTAAATCCTTGAGCTTTGCTTCATTACAGCTGTAAATAAGATAGTTAATTGCATGGAGGCTTGACGACTTGCAGATGGGCTAACTGTGGAAGAGCCGATGTCAAGCTCTAAAATCTCTTCCACCTGGAATTGCTTAGTGTGGCGGGTAGGGTTATATACCAGATTGGAGCAGGAAACCAAGATGTTTAAGTATCAAGAAGGAAAACAAATGCTCCAGAAACCCCAACAGTTTTCCTATATATTATAATTGCTTTGTCTTTGTTTAAAACAAAACAAAATGAAACATTTTCTCCAACCATGAATAGTTCATTCTTACTGAGTTTTACTCCTTCTCTCTTCCCTCCTCCAAATACGTTTCATTTGTAAGGGACAGGGGTTACTAAAATCTTGAATTTGCTAAACTGATTGCTTTGTGGTATAACACGTAATTTTTAGGCTTTATTCTTAAAATTAATCAAGTTTGGGGTGAATAAGTGCAGATTTAAATTTTTGATGGGTATCTCAAAGAAAGGATGTTTATTTCCAATAACATGACCTGACTGGTATTTTCAGAGGGGAAGCTCTTGTATGAATAGAGTCTGTCATGTGTTGAATGTAAAAGTGATTTCAGGTTTTCCCTTCAGCTTTGCACTCCATTATTCTGGTGGCAGGAGTAGAAGGTATGTGTGACTGAGGGAATCTTTGGGAGGAAAGTGGTTGAGAAAATAGGGTTAAAAACTCACCAGTAAAATGAATGAAGAGTGTTGTGCACCAGGACAGCATGTAAATTTTTAAGCACAAGAAACCTTTTATAACCTTTTGTGTATTTGTCTGTCTTGACTTCTGTAGGGAACCAACATGGAGCCCAGCCTGTATCGTTGCAGTAACATCGATTGTAAGGCTTCACCTCTAACCTCCGTGGTACAGCTGAGCAACAAATTGATCGTGGACATTAGACGTTGCATTAAAAAATACTACGAAGTAAGTATCCATGATGAGTTTCTCACATACGCTACTTATTTAGGTTTGGTACTTGTTCTAAACTAAAACAATATGGTTTTGTATTATTGTTTGTTTTTTTATGAAACTGTAAAATTTTTTAAAGACTTTGGAGGAAAATGATTTCATTTTCTCTTGGGCATTATACCTCATTAATGAACAGTATTTTTAACAATGAAGTTTTTGCTTTTAAGGAAAATGAGAATCTAATCAGGAAATGTTTCACTTTATTGCTACCTAAATAAAACACAGTTAAATGGTCAGTCAGATCTTTGGGCAGAGGAAGAAAAATCAATATTGCCTACCTTTGGCAAATAGAGCCATAACATCGTATGTGCTGATCTTAATAAACTGCCACTAGCTAACAATTTGTGTTTATGTGGTAAGCTAAACCATTTCATCACTTTGTTTTCCGAGGAAATCAAAATAAACATCTTTTACATTTAAATGCAATTTGTCTGACATTTTAAAAGAGGAAGTCTAATATTTATAAATATATACTAAAACTTCCAGAACAATGAGTGTGCTGTCTGCATTAAAAAGAAGGCTTCTTTCAAATTTTTTATTTTGTTTTGTTTTTAAGACATTTAATGAGATTTTTTTCTCTTCAAAAGTTAAAATTTTAAAAAAACCTGCTCGTTTCCCATTTGATTTTTCTTAGTGTTGCATTATGTCATTTGTCATCTAAACAAAGTTTCTATCACTTGAAAGTTCACTGTAACTTATGTAAAGAGGCTCCACTGGCAAGCATTTCCCCAAATGGTCAGGTTCTGTGAGGTAAGGCTCATGACTGTGATCAATATCATTCTGTACTTTCTACCTCTGTGTTAGTTAACATATGACAGCATTTTCTTCTTTAAAATCAAAGTCATTAAGTGAAAATTAAGTATTAGATCATTAGGATGAAGAGTGAAAACACAGAGTTTCTAGTATTGTGATCAGAGTAGAATAATTTGTATTTGTCAAAAAAAAAAAACAACCGGTCGGTTTGTCTGAAGATATTTTTAAAATAATAATTATGGCTGCATTTTGGGAAATCTGAAACATTTTAGTGAGTAAGCCTGTGCTGCACTTAATGAACAGTTGGATGGAAATAAAGGTTATCTGTGGGTTCACATTCCGCAGAAGATGAAACGTTCAGCACGTGAAATGTTAGGCCTTTATTTAGCATGAAGAGCCCAAATCAAAGCTGTTCAGCTCATTTACAGAACTCATTGAGCAGAGCCTGATTCTTAACTCTTGGGAAGAATTCTTGAGTTTTCTCTCTCTGTTTAGTCTATCGGAATCTTCACCATGGAAATGTTAATACTAGAAGAAGCTCATCTATTTCATTCTCTAAGAAGGGACAATCTGTTTTGACTAAGTTGAGAATAGGCAGAAAAATGATCTTCTGTATAGTTGGAAATATGCCCTAACAAAGATTGATTTCTAACCTAGTTGTGTGGGTGTGGGTGTTGTGGTAGTGGTTATAGAAGTATTTTTCAAGCTGAATAACCTAGTCTTGGGCATCTAGACACTTAACCCAACGTTTCTGTAGCATTTGCTTTAATTGTCTTATCTACCAACCATCTCACTAACTGCAAGTAACGGTTTTCCTGTAGTTAACTGCCCACTTGATTGACTTTCCTAAGGGGTTTCTAATTAGAATACCCAAATGTCATTCCTAAAGTTGAAGATTGACATGACTGTCCTCAAAATTAGGAACCTGTTTCTCTACTTTCTGATCTTAGGCATATGTGATTGGCTGGGAGAGAAAGAATCCATTATTTATTCTTTTCATGGCCCCATAAAGAACAGATGTTTCAGGTATTCTCAAGATCAGAGCTTTTATACAGAAAGCTCATACACCTCCAAGTTCCACTTTATTGGTAGAGTGTTCTCTTTCTTCCTGACCTCAGACTGAGTGAAATTTGCCAGTAGAGGGATATGGTGTTGGATTTTTTGTTATTGTGCCTCAGGTGGTACTGATCACAGTTAGTTTAGTGTGCTATGTCATAGCTATGGCCATCCAGCTGGAGATGAATACACCAAGTGTACTGGAGACAAGGATATTAGTAGTAAGTGCTGAGATTGAGTGACTGTTTTCTGAAGCTGACGACCAAAAGTGTTCCCTCCTGTTTTGCAGTTTAGAAAATACTACCCACTGGGCATTAAAGTTGTTAGAGGACTGAGAGCAAGAGTCTCAGTATTTTTTTCATCTTAGTCTTAGAATCACTGCAGAGGAAGAACAACTTATATTGAGAAAGGAGGCACTTCTGTAAGGAAAGAGCTTTGTAAGACAGTGGAGGAGTATGTGCTTGACCAAACACTGTGACTTGCCAAGGCACGTAGTTCTAGATCACTAGGAAATCTGATTGTCAAGAACAAAGGGACCAAAGTTGAGGGTTACAGAGTATACTTCTACATCACTTCTCAAAAAATATGTCACACAGTCTGTTATTGTGTGTCAAGAATAGATAGTGCTGATTGAATACATATGATGCAACAAACATTAAAAAGTTTCTCTCTGAGGATCAATCTGTATCATATCACACTTTTAAATCTTGGCTCCTTTAATAGAGGAGAAGCTTTTTCTCTCTCACCATATAGCAATGATTGTGTCTTTCAAATTCTTGTTTCCTAGAACATTTAAATTTCACTGCACATAGAAATACAAGAAGCACCAAACGAGGATATTTTAATAATTACCCTATATCCTATAAGAAAGATTAATTTCTTTATGAGGAAAACAACTCTGATGCTTTCTTTCAAGATTTGATGAAGCACTAGAAGACTTTGAGGCAGCACAGAAAGCTCTAATTCAGAGTTGATTTCCTGCCCTGGTCCTAGTTGGTTCCTCTGTGCAAAGTTAAAATTGAACTGGAATTTTTTGAAAATCATAAAAAGCCAGTTTAAAGACTGTATCTCCTCAGCTTTTAGGGATGTTTCTGAAAGATTTCAATTTTACAGTGAAAAATTGATATGTGTTCCCCCTCCCCTTAAATTCTGCTCCAGAAGAGCAAATAGACACACACACACACACACACA